CGCAGCCACAATACCAGGCCGTGAGCCCCGGTGCCTACTCCGTCGGTAACCAGCATGTCGTCCCCGCGCCTCAGCAGTTCGCGCCGCCCCAACAGCAACAGGCACCACACCCGCAAGCCTACCCCCCACACGCATCCCCGCCACCACAGCAACACCAGCAACAACAACAACAACAACAACAACAACAACAACAACAACAACAACAACAACAACAACAACAACAACAACAACAACAACAACAACAACAACAACAACAACAACAACAACAACAGCAACTCTCCTCCTACCCGTTCCCCACCATGGGCGACTTCCCCTTCGTCAACGCAGGCGGCAAGCGCGTGATGAGCCTGCTCGCGCCCAACGGGACACAAACCATCCTCGCGATCCCCTTCCCCTCCTCCCTCTCCTCGATCCCACTCTCCATCCATCGCGGCGGCGCCGCAGGCCCACACATGGCGGAAGCCACCTTCCACAGCTGGTCGACGGAAAAGGTCGACGTGACCATCGGCCCGCTGCGGTACCGCTTCCGCAAGCGGCTCGACAGCCAGACGGGGCTGGGCAAGCTGACGTGGGGCAACCGCAAGGGCGAGTTCTTTCTGCGCGAGGGCACGAGCGAGGACTCCGGCGTGCTGGTCGCGCAGTTTGTGCCCCGCACGACGTCGACCTTTGGAACCAGCAAGGTCGAGGGCACGTTTCAGATCAGGAAGCCCGGGTTGAGTGCCGCGCAGTTTGAGGAGGTGGTGATTACGGGCATTTTCGAGATGGAGAGGAGGAGGAGGAAGGCGGAGGGGTATGCGTTTAATTTGGCCACGTTTACGGCGCTGTGAGGGGGTGCTTGGGGTTCTATGTGGGTGGGGTGTTTGCTGTGCTTTCTTCTTTTGCCTGTCTTTGGGTCAGAGGGTTAGATATATGGTGTGAGAAAGGGGCGGTAGGTTTGTCGTTTACATTGGAGAGAAGCTGGATAAAAACGATAATTAGAGCATGAACCATGGTATGATACACGAATTACCACAATGAACAAACTGATTATAACATGACTCCACCATCTAAACAAAGGGGCAAGCCCCTATTCCCCATTCTCGCAAACATCCCACCCATTCAGTCCCATCTTCGACAGCAACATCCCTCATCATCCCCCAACACACCACCACTACAACACCGCCCTCCGCGCCTCAACCCCCTGCAGACACTCCAACAAACTCCTCCCCCCACCACTCTGAAACTCCTCCAACCAAACCCTCTTCGCCTCTAGAAACCTCTCCACGGCCTCCCGATCGGACGGATCCAACGGTGCCATCCCCTTCGCCATCCTCTGCATCTGCAGCGCCCCCAACGACGCCGTGACGCCAAAGTCATCATCATCCACCAACGGCCTAACACACCCACCCGCGCCCCCACCCAATATCCCCCGCGGCAAATCCGGCTCCGAACACGCCGGCCTCCCAAGCCCAACCCCATCCACGGCGCCAAGCGCATCAACCATCGCGCCCGCCGATCTCAACCCGCCCGTGATATACGCCCTCGTCCTCGTCAGCCGGGGCACGATCCGCTCCGCAAACTCCAAAAAGAACGCCTCCCGCTTCCGCGTCGACGCCCGCCGGTGCCGCAGGCCCATATCCTCATACGTCCCGCCGCTCAGCTCGACAAGGTCAAACCCGTGCGTCTCCAGCAAGACACACAGCTCCGCCGCCTCGTCGCTCGACAGCCCGCCCTCCTGGAACTCGACGCTATTCACCTTGATGCCCAGCACGAAATCCCTCCGAGTCTGCCCGCGGATCCCGTCCGCGATCTCGGTGATGATCCGCGCGCGGTCGGCCAGCGCCGGCCCGCCGTAGGCGTCGTCGCGCCGGTTCGTCGTCGGGGAGAGGAACTGCGCGAGCAGGTACCCGTGCGCGGCGTGCAGCTGGACGCCGTCGAAGCCCGCCCTGTCGAGGAAGACGGCCGCGTGGACGAAGGACGCGGTGATGTGCCGGATGTCGGCTGCGGACGCGGCGCGGGGCCTGCCGAACCCGGACCCGAACATCGTCAGGTGGAGCTGCACGTCTGACGCCGAGATCGGGTGCGGCTGGATGCTGGACAGGCATTGCCGGCCTGGGTGGTTGAGCTGGCCGAGGAGGAGGGAGCCGTGCGCTTTGCCTGCTTGTGCGAGGCGCTGGAAGCCGGATAGTAGTGGGCTTGGCGGGGAGCCTGTGAAGGGGGCCGTGAGCGGGATGATCATGTTGCCTTTGTCTTCGATGTGGTCGTGGTCGATTAGGATGTTGCCGGTCACTGTGATGCCGAATTCGCCTGCGCCCCAGGTGCGGTAGAGGGTGACGAGGTCGTCGCCGGGGATCCCGCGGGCGGGCTTGCAGGTGTCGGACCAGCTGGCGAGTTTTTCCGTCATGGCGGCTTTGAGGAACCGGTTCTTGGCTACTCGGCCGGAGAAGAGGAGCGGGAGCGGGGCGCCGAGGGGCGAGGGGTCTAGGCCCGCGCGGGAGGGGTATCGGGTTGTCATTGTGTGAAGGGAGATGATGCTAGGGTTGAGGCTGCTGGTGATGGCTGTCAGTGGTGGTGTTGGTGTTTGCTGTGAGCTGACTCCTTTGCGGTTGAATCAAGGTCAGAGACATGGAGAAGGGGCACGTACGTACGGAAACTGTTTCTTGGAGATGTTGGAGGGCTTGTATGCGGGTCGTGATAATTGCCGGGGTGGGGGCCGTGAACCATCCCGCAGCTGCGTGGTAGCATTGCCCTGCACGGCAGTTCACCGTCTAATAGTATCGTGCATATCCGAGAAAAGGTGGCAATTGGAATGTCGATCAAGACAAGGGAGAGGTCGACATCACTGCCAGTCTAGGGCAACTAGGCGATGTAGAGAAACCAGATGTAGTTGCGTATCTTTCAAAATGGTCGGATGGTTCATCAAACTGAATGTGAGAGTGGATAGAAATGGGAGTTTGCAGCGTAGGTGCATGTAACGATCGAACGTTGAATATTTGGTGAGATGCTGGTAGTCCGGATTTTCATACGGCAGTACATGTATAATTATATGAGAGGAACGAATTACCAGGTAATTAGGTACCTAGCCAGGTAGCACCCACCCCATAGTCTGATCTCTACATCAAGAATACCTCCGAATTTCATTCTGAGACATAGCTACCTAGGTATTGCGAATCAAGGCTGGTGATTAGCAGATATCTGCAGGCACAGATCACAGGAGACGAGACCAAGCATTGAATTGTCGACAAGCCATCGGGATGAGTAGATCCAGCACCAAACGAGCTCATCAATTCACCCGAATTATCCCACAACCGAACGCCATTACCACCGCGCGTGGTTAATTGCGGATATGACCGGCCCCTCATGCCCAGGGCGACAACTTTCATGTCAAATGCGCCCCTTTTCTTGTATGGAAGGGTCCTGGGACGTATAATATCTTGATTTTCATCTACCTCTCTTCCAGCCGGAACCAAGGAGGCTTGAAAAGGACCGTACACCAGTTTCAAAAATCCCATGTACCAAGAAAACAGCAATCACTGCCATTGAAAATGATTACCCTGTATCTCACAACCTCGCTACTATTCCTTTCCTCAGCCATCGCAGCATCCTTCCTGCCACCCAACTACAAAACCCGCACGGCACTCACACCCCGCGACAGCGACAACTGCTACGCCAAATCCCTCGCCCTGACCAACTTCACCATATATGCGGCGCAGGTCCTCAAGGGCAGCCCCTTTAAGCAGGAGAACAGCTCCATCGCGTTCCAGCTCTTTAACACGGCGACCAACACGGACGCGCAGTGCTCAGCCTACAGTGCGGCGCTGACGCCCAACTCCAACAGCGCCGACCCGTACATCTGGTACGGCTGCTTCATGGAGTCGCGGGACCCCAGCATGGCGGCCAAGTTCCGGTACGACGCGACGCTCAACTATGTCACAATCAACGAGACCTGGACGTGTCTGGACCCGCAGAATCACACGTGAGTGGTGGCCTGTCTACGAATTGGAAGCTTAGTTCTTGTTAATGAAAGATTTTGTTGACAATGGATCTTTTCGGTTGGGTCCCAGGGTCCTGTTTACGGCGTACAACTTTGACGAGCTGGCTATCAACTGCACCGACGACGGGAGCTTCGAGAGGTGGCAGTGCACGCAGGCGGATGGCGACAAGCTCTACTTCCCTGTAGACATCACGACGAAACGCCTGTAATTTCCAGGAGCAACTCGCGGTTCTGGGCTGATAGCAAGAGGAGAGTGTCAGGGGCCATTCCGACGAATAGCGATCTGCAGGTAGAGCTAATACAGGTCGTGACTGAAGGGAAATGTGTGAAACAAAGACCTCTGCTCCACCCCATGCAAACATTGGTAAACATAGTGGGAACTGTGTCCCCTAGTGCCCCACAACTGAGTCCACCTAAGTCTTTGTGTGTCAAAATTCTCTTGCTCTCCACCATAAGTTAGCACACACAACATAAAGGCAAAGAGTGCTTGATACTTCATCCAAGAATAAAACAGGACGCGTAGCTCAGTGGTAGAGCAACCCGCTGCAGTCGGGTAGGTCACGTGTTCAACTCACGTCGGGTCCTTGACTTCAACTTTTGCCCAACATCAGGTGATGTTGGGGATTGAGATGAGTGTAGTAGTAAATTTCTTTTTGTGTGGTGCGGTAACGTCTCGGATCGGATGCCTCTCTCTGAATGTGACGGAGCTCGCGGGGGTGACCAGCAACTGTATTTTGCTATGTTGGAGCAAGTTGATTTTGCGTCAGTGCAAGTTATTTATTGGGCGGGACGATGAGGCCCGAACACTCATTCAGATCATAACACTGCAAACAAAAAGAAACAGCAAACTTGCAACGCAAGTGGTGGAAATTGTGGAGACCGGGCATTAATTAAGTGATCATGGATTTGCAGACGTTTCCTTTTGATATCGAAGAAATCACCTTAACCAACATCAAATGTTGTGGCAAAACATTCAATGCCCCTGGGACTGGACTGATATGATGAAGGGGCCCGGGAGCAAAAGTAAAGGACCCAACGTGAGTTGAACACGTGACCTACCCGACTGCAGCGGGTTGCTCTACCACTGAGCTATGCGTCCTGTTGCTGTGATTCGTTGAAGCTGAGCACCAACCTACCACACTATGACCCACAGGCCAGGCCAGCACTTCCCACACTCCCTAATTGTCACGCCCAGCTGAAAGACTGACAACTCGACAATCACATCATGTTTGCCGCATCGTCTAATTATATCTTTAGCTAAAGTTTCCAGCCCTCGGGCTGCTACTGACGCGACACAATCGCACCACGGCTCTCCTGATTGGAAAGAATGGGATACATGCCTGTAGTGAACTGTCTCCGCATGTTTGCTTGTATCATTGTCCCACGGTCACACACAACTCGATTTTGCGGGTGCACGCAGCATCTGAAGCGCCCCTTCCTTTCTAACATGTAAATCACCTGGTAATTAGTTTCAAGTGATGGCAACTCCTTCTGATCTTCTTACCCCTGTCGTTGAGCACATGCACCAAAGTCACAACTGGATGTGATTTCTGTCGCGGAAGGTTGTATCAAAGGCTCAGACTGTGTCTGCCCAAGGAAAAAAAACATGAAAGAGAGGCGATTCCTGATAGCTGGTCAATGTGAAAATGTTGGAGATTGATGATATTACCAAAATGTCTTGGCCCAACTATCCCCTTGGGTGTTAGGCAACTAAATAGCGACCTGAAAAGCGGATGTCGCTTGGGACCCAGGCCCCTTCGGTTTCCCCAACCCGAACGCGAGCCATTGGCTCAGTTGCAATCCTCTCAGCATCTCCGTCCCGGCGGGTTGGAATGCTGCCTAATGCCGATCAATGGTCGGATTTAACTGGGGCCAGCCTCCAGGCGAGCAGAATAGTTGCCTGGCGACCTGATCTGGGTGTTGATGCTTGTTCCTTGTTGTACTACCATGCACCATCATTTTGAATCAGTGGCCCCCTGAGGTTCAAGGATACAAAAGGTGGTGGCACGCTCATAGTCACAGGTATTCGAGTCTCGGCCTGCTCATTAGCCCATGCACTTTGTTGCCAACAAGACAAATTCTGCCAACTTGAACCTCGACATTTACACTTCCAGAGCCATGGAGCAATTCCTCATCGACAATGCCGATCGGTACAGAAACCTTGTCAAGGCGTTCAAGCCGACGCCGGCCAAAAAAGGGGGCGTCGAGACCAGCGCGGCCAGCCCTTACATCACGGTCTGCGCACGCATCCGCCCCATGCTGGAGGATGAACTCGCACAAGGTTTTCCGGAGGGCGTCATTCCTCGGGCGCAATCAAGCACTGCCGACTTGCACGAGCTGAGGCAGAAAGTGCGAGGGCCGCCGGTCATCAACGCAAGTCACCTCCCTTTTTGTCAACAACGTTACCATCAAATCCCGTGATGGTACGTACGTGTACCAACTTACCGACAAAACAGTCGTCGGATTACACCGTAGACAAGCTCTTCGACTCCAACGCCACCACGGCGCAGATCTACGAGACCGTGGTCCAGCCGCTCGTCCCCTGGGCATGGGCTGGCGGTGTGGCGACCTCGTTTGCCTACGGCCAGACGGGGTCTGGCAAGACTTTCACCGTCAGCGGCCTCGAGCGCCATGTGGCCGAGACGCTGATGGACGGGTCCCTCGAGGGCGAGCGCAAGGTGCACCTCTGCATCATTGAACTGGCCGGCCAGACGGCGTTTGGTAAGCTGCCCATGGGCCCCTGGTCTGATGCCGTGATCCGACAGCACACCTTTGCTAACACCACCACACCGGCACAGACCTCCTCAACAACCGCAAGCAAATCTCCATCCTCGAGGACTCGTTCGGCAACACGCAGCTGGCCGGCGCCGTCGAGCACCACATCACCACCAAAGCGTCGATGACAGACCTCATCGAGACCGCCGCGGCCCTCCGGCAGACACGAGCGACGCTGAAAAACGACACGTCCTCGCGCTCGCACGCGATCTGCCGCATCCGGATCGAGAACCCGGCCAGCAGTGCCGACGACGACGGGCTGCTCTACCTGGTGGACCTGGCCGGGTCCGAAGCGGCGCGCGACCGGGCCGCGCACGACGCCAGCCGGATGAAGGAGGCGCGCGAGATCAACACGAGCCTGTCGGTGCTCAAGGACTGCATCCGCGGGCGCGCGCTGCTCGACGCCGACAAGGGCAATACCAAGACCAAGAAGAAGGCTGCTGCCTACGTGCCGTTCCGGCAGAGCACGCTGACCAAGACGCTCAAGCACCTGTTCGACCCGGCCAGCCGCCGCGGCGGCAAGACGGTCGTGGTGGCCTGCGTCAACCCGTGCCTGGCCGACGTAGGCGCCAGCAAGAACACGCTGCGGTACGCCGAGCTGCTGCGCGTCGTGGTGCCCAAGGCCGCGGCGCCGGCCCGGTACGACGCTGCCGTGCCGGCGACGTGGTCCAACGCCGACCTGCGGCGGTGGATCGAAGGGAACGTAAGCATCAGTCTTTTCTTTTTCTCGTGCTGTCCTTTTCTTTCTCTTCGTCTGTGAGACCATGAATCACACAGCAGTGCAACCAACCAGGCAGCCAGCCAGCTCACAAACTAACACGTGGCACATAATAGTCCGGAACACCCCCCGTCGACGCCTCGATGCTTGCCCCGCGCGAGACGGGCCCGCAGCTCCTGCGCCTGCCGGCGCCCGAGTTCGTGGCCCGCTGTCTCAAGACGGTCGGTGTGTCGCCCGAGCAGGCGCAGGCGTTCCAGGCCAAGCTGTGGCGGCTGCACAGCGACTCGCGCGCCGCGAAAGCCGACGACGCCGCAGACAGTAATATCATCAACACCGAAGACGCGCGGATCGCCAAGTTCGACAGCAGCGCGGACCCGGAGCCCGACGCCGCCTCGATCCCGTTCACGGAGCGCATCCGCCCGGGCATGGTGGTCAGCATCGTGCCGCTGGCCGGAGGGGTCTTTGGCGGGTATGCGCTGTCGGGCAAGAGCTACGTGCTGGTGCTGTGTCCGGCGGCGGCGGTCGGGGCGCGCGTCAGGGACTTGCTGGGCGAGCAGGTGAACCCCGGGCGCGACATGGACGCTGAGACTGGGAGTGGGCGTAGCACGGCTGACCGCTATCTCTGTGCGCTGGTCACGCCGGGCTTCATGGCCGGGTCGTACGGCGTCAACCTGTGGCGGCAGTGCGTCGTCGCGCTGGACCAGATGGAGGCCGAGGTGCTCATGGAGTATGATGCCGCGACGCGGTACTACTACATGACTGTCTGAGGCACTGGGACCTCGTCAGTTATCAGCTAGTTGGGCAATAGTTTGAACTCGGGTGGCTTTGCACCGGTCTTTGTCATGTCTGGACATGGTTTCTTTTGCGAACTGCAAGTCGGTCATCCGAGAAGTTAGACGTAGAGTCTGGTTTGTGACACAATGCGCACGTGTGTGGTTTGTTTTGTTTCTTCTTTTCTCTCCATGTTGCATTCGAACAGCGTGCGTGCGTGCCGCAAACATGGGCCTGCCGTGCATGCGTGACCACCAAACCCTCCCTTCACTCCGTTCACAGTCCACACACCCCCTGCCGTACAACGATGCCGATTTACAAATGCATGGGACCGCTGGTTGTGGACACGCACGCACGTACGCACGGCGGGTGGAGAGACCAAGGCCAGCCAGGCCCAGACTCTGCTCGTCCCACCAATAGGGGCAAAAAATAGGGGGGCGAGCTTTCTACCCTAACCCCACAACGACTCCAGTAGTTTCTTTTGGGACAGATGGGTGGTGGCAAATTGGCGATAAAGAGCGCACTACGGGCTGGGATCGTCAACAACCAGACAGCAACATCAAGGCGTTGTGACAGAGTGGTCTAATGTGTTTGACTCGAAATCAAATCTCTTCGGAGGCGCATGTTCGAATCATGCCAACGTCGTTCGTTATCTTTTTGCTGCCCGTTATTTGCCCGCCCTTTTCTTTTTTTGGGTGGGCTAATAACGTTGTTCTCTTTGTCAACACCAAAACCACTCGTTCCACAGGGATGTGCATCATAGGGGTTATCTGTCAATAGGACGGATAACACAGCAACACCGATGGACTCTCATTTACTGCGATTTACTCTGCTCCTGCCAGTCAAACTTTATTAGCCCTCCACACCTAATTACCAGCTGACTCGAGGTGCTGTGCAACGCTATAACGTTAAATGAGATAGTGATGCAAATCATCATGCCACGATAATGCAAGCAAAAATTGCCGATGAAAATCCTCCCTGGTCATGCAAATCCCCAAGACCCTTCCGTCGATAATGCAAACCAAGATAGTTACAACTCGCTACTTAGAACACAAACCCAAACTCCCCTCCCAGCCCCCACGGCCCGGTCTTGGTCCTCGGGCCGCCACTCCCCCCCAGCACAACCACGCTCTCAACCACCACATCCGTCCGATACCCAAACACGCCCCCGGCATCAAACCTCGCCCCGTCCCACGAGAACCCAATCTCCGACCAGGCATCCCCAACATCCACGCTCTCCCCATCATCCAGATACAGCACCCCCCTTGCAGTCCCATCCACCCCGGGCGCGACCACGACGGTGAAATTCTCCCTCCGCACCAGCGCCGTGGTATTCGCCGACCGCACACGCATGGGCACGATGCTGCCCCCCCTGATATGCACGGGTATATCCGTCCAGGGCACCCCGTCGACCGTCACGCTGCCCCCTGTCCCCCTGACCGCCTCCCACGTCCAGAAGTCATACCACAGATCGTCAGGCAGGTACAAGCGCACGCTCTGCGCGTCGTCGTCCACAACCGGACTCACCAGCAGCGCGTCGCCGAGCATCCACTGCGTCTGCACGGCGTAGGTATCCACGTCCCCCGGGTAGACGAACCACAGCGGCTTGGCACTCGGACTCCCATCCCGTGCAGCGCAGCGCATGGCAGTGTACAGATAATCCAGCAACCGGTACCGCGCATCGATGCTCTTGCGCGCGGCGGCCGCGACGACAGGCCATCGGTAGAGCTCTTGCGAGGGCGCGGAGATGTCGGCGTGGTTGCGGAAGAAGGGCTGGAACGCGCCCAGCGCGGCCCAGCGCGCGCACATGTGCTCCTGCGCGGCGCCGTTGAAGC